GTGGATGTGAGTGGAATTCCCTGTCTTCAGTATTTTACATACATGGACCTTCTCTCAGGTCAGTGTGAACAGAAGGCCCTCCCTCAACCCACATTCCTGGTCATCTCAGGTGTGGGTTGGCTCCTTTAAAATATGCCTGTGAGGAGAGTTCCCCGTGTCCTACAAGGTAGATCACAGCAGAGGTCCCCCACATCCTGACTCTCCATAGGGAAATCTAAGAGCACAACCTAAATAAAGGAAATGAAGTGCAAACGGCAAACAAAACAGAGCTAATGCCACGGCCTGAGCTCTGACTGCTTCGATACTATTGTATAACAAACTGTCTTTGTATCTTTTTAGATCACTTCAGCCAAGTAAAGGATCATCTGTCAAAGTCAACTCAGGACCAGGTGGCTTTCCTGACACACACGTGAGGCACTATAAAGTTGAGAAAAGGTCCAAAGTTTTTACCCTGAAGCTTAACTACAATTAGGCACAGCAAGGCACTGTAAGACTTTTTCAGCCACTGATACAATTTAGAAACAATCAAGTTTGAAGTAGGCTATGACACAGCCTGAATTGAAAAGCTAACTGAATATACCCTCTCTGCACTGTCATCCTGCATGGCCATAGCAGGACTGATGGGCTGCTGCTCAGGATAATGTCAATCCTGATTTCAGCAAAGCCCTCTTGGTGAAATCTTGTGGGACTTCCGGGAGAACATGGTGGACAGATAACAGCAACTACCGGAGGCTCTCTGAAAAACTAGGCTCAGAAGCCAGGTATGGTGCAGACTAAAGAGACATAAGCAGGTGGAGTTATGCTCTGCTGACTCAGGAACGAACTCGGCTGAGAGAAACCAACTTGGAATGCAGTCCTGGTGCTAAAACAGGAACAGAAAAGTCTCGCTGCTGAGGCTGGACCCTGCGCCATTGGAAGCCGCGATTTGGGTTTCCCGCCGCACGGCGGCTGGCTGCCTCTACATCGGCTCGGCAAGGAGAGAGACACGCGGAAACTCTGAGAACAGGAGTCTGCGAACGGAGTCGAAAACAGGACGGGCAAGGAGGCATGTTCTGACTTGTGGCGAGGTGAGTGAGAGAAACTGACACTCCACCACAGTTTGACTCCAGCGGACTTTCTGGGCCCGAGCAGTCCTGCGGGAGCAGGGCGCGGTGGCGACTCCAGCCACACATTCCCCTCTCGGGCAGGATTGGTGAAAAGTGCCTGGCCTGCGTGACGCTGCCGGCAGACCCCGTAGGCTGGCCCAACCCAGATCCCAGAGCCTGATGGAGGCCGGGAGGGGCGGGCCCCCGCGTAGGCTGCCTGGTGCGCAGCGGTGAGTGGGAACACCTAACCGGCGCAATTCGATCAGGCTGTGGCTGACAGGGAGAGAAGCTGGGCCTCTCATATAAGCTTGCATATATAAGGCACAGAGAATATGGAAAGAGGCAGCAACAAGAAAGGCTCCTCGGCCCCCAATTCTGAGAAACAGGCAATAGCAGACACCGCACCAATACACATAAAGCACCATATAGAGAGCCTCATAGACCAATTCAGGAATGAAGTTATCAACGACCTGAAGCTAGAAGTATGCAAAATAGTTAGAGAAATACTAAGCCCCACCCAAGAAAAAACAGATGGTGGATTGGAAGAACAGAAAAAGAGGGGAGAATTGTTTGATGGAGAAAACAGGGAAAGCATAGAATACGTGAAACAGGTTCAAAGGGACTACCAAGAAACTAAGAAGTCTATCGAAGACTGGCATAACAGCTTGAAAGAAACTAAGGACAGACTATCTGAACTGGAGGGCAGACTTGTAATATGGGAGAATGAAATGAAAAACTTCTTAAAAATAACAAAGAAACAAACATCAATAATACAAAGACAAGAAGATGATAAGAGGATCTATAACTTAAGGATTAAGAACATAAAAGAAGAAGGAGGGACACAAACAAATGAACTACAAAAGCTACTCACAGAAATAATCCAGGAGAATTTTCCTAATTTAGCAAAAGGTAAAGATACTCAGATGTATGAGGCATACAGGACCCCAGCTATCTACAACCCAAACAGAGAAACACCCAGGCATATAATAATCAAAATTCCAGAAATTCAATACAAGAACAGAATATTAAAAGCTGTCAGAGACAAGAAACAGACCACTTACAAGGGAGCACCCATCAGAATTACAGCAGATTTCTCTGCACAAACCATCAAATCACGAAGAGCGTGGAGGGAAATAATTCAAGCTTTGAAAGATAATAATCTCCAGCCAAGATTGAGATATCCTGCACAACTGTCCCTGGAAATTGATGGAAAAACAAGGTGCTTCCAAGATAAAGAGGAACTGGGGGAATTTGCAACCACCAATTCAACTCTACAGAGAGTATTGGCGGATATTCTAAAAAAAGAAAAATACAAAGAATCCAGAAATAGTGGAGGCCACAACTAATGGAGCAGAGAACAAAGTGCAGAAGACAAACTGACAGCTACTGACAGAATAAGAGCTCAACAGAAATGAGGCAGAGAAGATTGGATGATAGGAACAGCTATTTTGGAGAAAATGACATCTTAATAGGTAATACTGATTTAGTATCATCTTGTTTTGAAGTCTCATCTAGCTTTTGTCCTTCTGTCTCCAATGGTCTAAATAGGTTGTATCTTACTGGATTTTATTATGTACGATAGTATAAGCAAAAACCTTTTAAAGACAAGGAGATTATACAGAAACCATTATTCATTTTCTGTTAGTCGATTCTAAATACTCTGTAATGCTGTCATTCTCTTAAATGGTTTTACATTGTTTTGATATACTTAATGCTACAGTATACGAAGTTGTACTCAAGGATTTCAAGGAAAGAGACAATATGGTAACTACTTTTAGGTCAGGATTATCTGGTGGTGAAACACTATTCTGCTTAAATGGTTATGTTCTGATCTGCACTGTTTCGTTGTTATGCCCTCTTTTATCTCAATCTCCATTCCATTATTTACTTTTTTAACACTTTTTTAAAATTTTTATCCTTTTAATTAAAGGGAAAAAAATAGCAGGATATATTATAGTAATCCACTTTGACTTTCCATTACCTCGATTTAAAGCCCTGTATTACTCTCACCATCTGGTTTTTAACTGATGTTCCCCTATTCTGTTTTGCTGGATAGTATCAGGTTCGAAAATTTAGGCATCAGCTGTGAAGATAATGAGATTCATTATAACGCCCATTCTCGTTGACTTTTATCTACTTTTGAAGACCTACAATGTTACCAATGTTTTGGTTTTGTCGGTTTTGTTCTTTACTGTTTTGTTAAATTGTATTATAACTAATGGTATAGGCAATTCTACTAGAGATAGCGGGAGGCATTATGGTAACCATTGTTGATCACCTTGTATTATGTTTTCACATTATCTATTATGTCCACCCTTTTGACTTGACCGATTCTGTTCTGTTATGTCACATTTGGTTTTACTCTCTTCCAAAAAAGTAATAAGAACTGTGAGAGCAATGAAACCCAAAATGTGTAATAGTCATTGTACAAAAGAGAGGAAAAGAAAGTGCTCTAAACTATATAACTGCATGTATATTTAAGTATATAAGATAGAATATGGTATCACAGAGTTTTATTGGATCATTGAACAGAACTGTTTGCAGTATCATTGATGGAATGTCCACTTTACAAGCTTTAATTTTGTGACTTGAACAATTATTTCTAAGATGACAATATGTAATCCATTAACTAGTGATTTCCTACTGTTCATTTTTTTTTTGCAAATCTGTATAACTTGTACCCTTTCTCTGCTTTTTTTTTTCTTTTCTCCTTAAATAAAATTAAAAAAAAAAAAGAAATCTTGTGTAAAGGTTCCATAGTGTAGCACTCACAACTGAATGGCAAGTAGGCTGTTTACCAAACCCTCAGCATGGAACACAAGCCTGATTCTGGGCCCCATGCAGAGACAAGCTGGATGTGCTGGTCAGAGCTATACTCAGGACAGTAGGAAAGCACTGAGGCACAGTGACTGTCAGTTTTCTGCAGGGAGATCTGCCTGAGACGCATCAAGCAGCTGAAAATGCATCGATGTCACTGGTTTCAGAAATGTTTGGCATATGCACCCTCGCTTATCACCCACTCCAAACACAGAACCCAAAGCATCTCTGCAAAGTGGAGGGCCACACTATAGTGGTGGGTGCCACTCACCGAAACACAACCACAGTAGGATGTCAGGCACACAGTGACACCCTGGAACTCACTATGAGGGTGACCCCTGGATCTCCCCAACAGTACAACTCTGCTTTATTCTGACTTCACAGCTGTACTTCTCAGTTCATCATGGAGGACACACAGGGCCCATGGTGCAGAAGCTGCTTAGGGGACTCACAGGACAAATGGCATCTCTGCATCACACCGCCTTGCATCTACCTTCCAAGGCCTATCAAAGGCAATGGTAATGGGGTGAAGCTATCTGCTCAAGGTGGCTCACTGGGGGAAAACATCTGGCTTAACCATAATGCTGGCACCTCCAGAGCACTAGCCATCACCCAGTGTTGAAATATATGCACTGAAACTCTCGGGTAACTAGGAAAGCAAATCCTAGAACAGAAGGACAAGATTCAATACTGCTGTCTTTACTGAAAAGTGCATGTAGGGCTGGGGATTTAGCTCAGTGGCATAAGTGCCTGCCTTGCAAGCCTGTGGTCATGAGTTCGATACCTGATACTGGTAAAAAATTTTTAAAAAGTGCATGTAAATCTTTATGCTACACAAGGGATCTTGTACAAATTCCCTATGATGAACATGATGATTATATATCTGAAATATACCAATGAACTTAATTAAGAAATGAAAAAGCATAAAACAGTATTCTCCACAGTATCAAATTTTAAAATGTACCTGGGCTTCCTCAGTCCGTGGGCCTGCTGCAACTTGAGGCCTCCTACACCACTGGGAGCACTTTAACTCACCCATGGCAGTTCCTTCTGGCAGCTTCAACTCGTACAACTGGAAATCAATACAAATGTGGAGCAACTGCGTTTAGTAAAGGTGCACGAATTCCAAGTAAGCTGTTGCCAACTTTTCCCGAGACAAGAAAAAACAAAACCGTTAACAGGTGCTGAAAAGGGTGTGGGGCAACTGACAGAACCAGTGTGTATTTGTGGACAGCAGCTTGGTACACCACTTGCCCCTTCAGGCAACAGGAGACCTCAAAGGGGCCACAGCTGCACAAGGAGTGGGACCCACAAGGCCATGGAGCACCATGCAGCGCTCTGACCAGGCTTCTCAGACTCTAGCAAGATCCTCACAAGAGTCAGAGGGAAAATCAGGTATTGCAGAGCCAGGTGACACCTTGACTTTAAGATGTATTTTTGCCAAAACACAGAAATTTTTGGGTTCAAACACAGTATTTCCTGGACTGTGACTAAGAAGCAGACTTCTTGTGTTCCTTAACTAGACCCTTCTGAGATATCTCAATGTCTTAACCTAGTGCCTAAGGAAAAATATCAAATGAATAGAAAGATCTCAGCCAACAGCTCAGGTCCCACATTAAGAGGTTCCAGGTCAATGTGAGGAAAGAAAAAAGAACATAAGGTCAGGTGTACAATCTCCCATGTACAGTGTCATGTGAGGTGAGATAGCTGGAGCTGGGTGGTGTGGTGCATACCTATAATCCCGCAGTAGAAGGTGAGGCAAGAGGATTTAGGGGTCAGCCCTCACAATGATTGGCAGATATACCTGACAAATAAATACTTGTGTAATCAACCTGTACCATGGCATGATTCTGTAGGTGTGTAACTTATAAAATGAGTTCCACATAAAGTAGAATAACACAACTATCAACACTGCATTGTCACCATTGGATTGTAAGGGCACGTTAGGCCATGTGACACTAAAGCCGAGCTGGATGCTGGTGGCCTCCAGAATTCTCCATGTCAGGCTTCTCCTCAGCCCTCAACCTAATGTATGCACGTGTACAACTACACCTACATGCCTCACACATGCACACACCATCTCACGTCTCACTCCTCACCACCACAACTCCAGATCATCCCTCACAAAGTTCTTTTTCCTTCACTCGGGCACAGGAACACTATGCTGTTTGTAGGTGGGGCCTCAGGACCTGTTTTGGCTACCTGGATGTCGTGGCTACCAATGTTCTCATTTCCTTCACCTGCATCATCCCTCACACTCCATCTCTGTCTTGTTTTTCTCCATGGCATGAATCACTTGCTGTGTGAGCTTCTCATTCATGGGCCTGTCCCTGCTAGATGTAAGCTCACTATATCCCTGTTGCATCTTCAATTTTTTCAGTGTGATTAGAATAATGTCCATGCAAAAGAGGAACCAAGGCACATTTTCTGAATGAAGACAAGAAAGAAAAGATGAATCAAAGTGCAGAATATTCTTAGCATAGAAAGCATTGAAAATCTGCAATAGCTAGCTAGCGCTGCTAGTCCTATGCACAACCATGTAGGAAGACAAAACCTGGAGTTTCTGTCAGGATGGTGGCTGTAAGCACCTGGAGCCGGTCATCCTAAAGTCCCTCAAGCCCAGTTACCACATGTCCCCCGTGCAGACTCTTACCCGCTGCAGTGCACCCAGGAACTCCAAGCAAGGCCCCCCCGCATATCCACATAAAGAGGTGAAGACTAATCTCGGTCAGCACAAGTGGTGCAGTGGGGGCTGCTGATCTCCGTAATCCCCTGATTCCTTGCCCACACCAGTTGTGGCACCAGCACCATGCACTTGTCTGCACTCACCTGTGCTCACATGTGGGTGCCCTTGGGAGCCTCCTGTGTGGAATTCCCTCAGGTCCCACATCTCTGCAAGTGCAGGTGCTACTATTGCTCTAGGGTGCACAGCGCATCCCAATGCCAATGATTTCCTTCACCTTCCAGCTGACCAGTGACAACCAGAGAACACACCAAGGGTATACTGCACCCCTGTGCGACATGGTGGTGCTATGTCCTGGTACCACTGACTGCTGGAGATGTCTCTGATTGCCAGGGCAATTTGACAGTGAGCTGATTCTGTTGGTGTTATTGTTGGTATCCAGCTGGTGCTCAATTTTTAATAACCAAGGTTCAAAAGACAAGTGGTAAAAAACAAAACAACAAAACCAAACCAGAGGATAGGGACTGTAACAGTACAGTTTCTCCTCACTAAAAACCACACAAAGACAGTGAAGATCTGTCTGTGAGGGCACCAGCTGAGGGAAGGGTTAACTTGTCTCTACCAGCTTGTATCCTCAAGGAGGGCCTCTCCTATGTGGTGGTCTGGAGCCACTGAATGTGACTTCAGAACATGTGACAGGGAAGACCAACATTGTATTCAGCCCTTCAACACTTACAAATGATAAGCTATTGGGGTTGGTGGCACAGGCCTATAATCCCAGCCAGAGGCTAAAGCAGTAGCACGGAAACTTCAAGTTTAGCCTGGGCAGATGTGCCATCTCATATAACAATAAAAATAAGGAGTAAGGTACAAGGGCTAGGGATGGAGCTCATTCTGGCATGTGTAAGGCCCTGAGTTCCATCCTGAGCACTAGACAAGGAAATGAGTCCAATTTCCTTCCTTACACAAAAACAAGAGAAAAGGTAGCTCTAATTTATGCCATAAGCGTGGTCCTTTAGTTGTAAAATATCACAAGGCTATAAGCACAAGTAAAAAGAAGCTCAGGAATGTTAGCTTCACACTGAGGACCACTGTCACTCAGGGACCAGTGGGCTCGGAAAGAGGAAGTAGAGAAGCTGCACCCCTGGACAGGGCTCTTCTGACTTGTCTGGAGTCAGTGGACAGGAGAATGGGGGCCCATTCTTAGGTTCTGAGTAGGAAACATGGATGGGCAGGGATTGACTTCAACCAAAAATAAACCACTCTCTGAGGAAATTGATGACATTTTTCTCAATCTCTGATATCGTATTGAAAGGATTCCTTAATATCTATCACTGCTACAAATAGATGGCTGAGAGAAGAAAAATCAAATTTTAGGTGATATCCTAGGACACAAATCATAATCATTTATGGATTACATCCAGTAGCCATAGAAACTAGCTTCATACTTAACAAGACAACAGTTTTATTGGAGACAAAATTCTCACTGTAGTGTCTATGCTGGCTGTGAATTCAACATGTAGCCCAGGTCGGCTTCAAAATCTAGGTTCTCCTGCCTCAACATCCCAAGAGCCAGGACTACAGCAATGTGTCACCACCCTTTCTGAAGACAAGACAGTCAGAAGTCAAGAAAAACAAATTATATTTTCATTGCAAGGCTAGCGGTAACTTATCTACCCATCCTGAAACACTCTGCTTTCACGGGTAATCAAGGGTAGCTTCCTTCCATCACTTGCCAATGTGAGGCCCTATTCTCAGGGTCTCAGTCTCTGCAGGGCCAGTGCCATATGGCTCTCCTTGCATAGCATGAGATCCTGAATGGCAGGATTGTTTCACTCCACAACCTGGGGCTGGTGTTCACCAAGTACCTCTCTAGCATGTTGGATCTTCCAAGTGTAGGGCAGTCAGTACGACACATACGACCTGCTGCAGAGCTTGCTCTTCCATGCACCTAACTCAGAACTCAGAATCAGCTAGATGTGATGGTGCATAACTATAAAACCTGAGGTGAGGCAGGAGACAGCAATTTCAAGGCCAGTGTGGGAAACTTCACAAGAACTGTAGCTTGAGGTGCATGTCAACGCCTGGGTGGCTTCAATCCCCAGTACTGCAAACACTCAACCAATCAGGAATCCAAACTACTCAATACATTGGTGGAGGTCATATATAAGATGACATGGGTGATCTTGATATCCAAAGACACTAATTAAGCAATGCTCCTCCACATTGGTAAAAGATTGTAGTTTGTTCTATTTCTGCATCACAATGACACCAAGTCATTGGCAATCAAGAACGTTAATTTTCTCCCTACCCGTCTGTCAGGTTTAGCTGTATGCCTCTGCCTATGTATCTGCCACATGCCAAGGCATAGGCAGACTCCTATGGATACATCAGGAGCCTTATCTATGTTCACTCACACAAACTGAGTCACGTGGGTATGAGGAGAATTTATTCCTCTTTGGGCATTGACTTAAGGCTTCAGTTTCAACTGCCTGGTTACCAAGGGCTTCTCTATTGGGTGGCATAGGATACAGCAGATGGAGTCCGAGGTAGTGATCTGGAAGCGACATACGCAAGGCCCAACTATAGACTCTTTTGAATCTCCTCTCACAAATGACTTCCCACCGTTTCTGCTGTGTCCTGTTCACAAGGTCTGCTCACCTACAGTGCGCGATCAATAAAAACTGTGCACGATGAGGGACCACAAGAGAGGCATCCTGCCTCCAGGATGAAGGGTCTGACAACATATGCCAACACTGGAGAAACATTCTGTCATGACCAGAGCCTTAGACACAATTCTGGGCTCGGGCTCGTTCTCCAATGGGATACAAGATAAAAGAAAGACAGAAAAAAGTAAAATATAAAATCTGGTAACGGTATACAAGTGGTATTATAGTAGTAAAATATCCTAGGGCGTGCAATTAGGCCAAAAAGGAAACAGGAATAACATTTAGGGCCATTTTCACTCAGGCATCAGTGGATTCTGGAAGAGGCAGCTGAGAAGCCAAAATCCCAGACAGGGATTCTGACAGGTCTGAGGTTCCACAGACTTGCAATTAATGTCCCATTTTTTAAAAATTTTATTTAAGAGGAAAAAGAGAAAAACACAAAACAAAACAAAGCAGTGCAAGGGTACACATAATACAGAACTACAAAAAAAAAACATAACAGTAAGAAATCACCTGTTAATAGATTACATATTATCATCTTGGAAATAGTTGCTCAAATCACAGTATCAAAGAATACAAAGTGGACATTCAAACAGAGAGACTGCAAACAGCTGTGTTCAATGATCCAAAAACATTAATATAGTCAGCTATTTAACACCCCTAAACACACTTGCTGTTATATCCATTAGAGCTCTTTTTTTTCCCCCTCTCTTTTTTACACATTTTGGATTTTATTACTCCTTAATTCTTATTACTTTTTGGGGGGGAGAGAGAATAGACACTGCTAGTTCTCCCCCTGGAGGGGCTGCAGTGGGCTAAACTACCGCCGCTTACCAGGGAGGGGAGGTGCTGGCTTGGATTCCCAGAGTCCTAAGCTCCAACATGGCGTGGATCTCAGGAGACACTGCTAGTTCTCCCCCTGGAAGGGCTGCAGGCTGCCACCCTGCCTCCCCTTACAGGGAGGGGAGATGCTGGCTTGGCTTCCCAGAGTCCTAAGCTCCAGCATGGCGTGGATCTCAGGAGACACTGCTAGTTCTCCCCCTGGAGGGGCTGCAGTGGGCTAAACTACCGCTGCTTACCAGGGAGGGGAGGTGCTGGCTTGGATTCCCAGAGTCCTAAGTTCCAGCATGGCGTGGATCTCAGGAGACACTGCTAGTTCTCCCCCTGGAGGGGCTGCAGGCTGCCACCCTGCCTCCGCTTACAGGGAGGGGAGATGCTGGCTTGGCTTCCCAGAGTCCTAAGCTCCAGCATGGCGTGGATCTCAGGAGACACTGCTAGTTCTCCCCCTGGAGGGGCTGCAGTGGGCTAAACTACCGCTGCTTACCAGGGAGGGGAGGTGCTGGCTTGGATTCCCAGAGTCCTAAGCTCCAGCATGGCTTGGATCTCAGGAGACACTATTTCTCCCCCTGGAAGGGCTGCAGTGGGCTAAAATACCGCCGCTTACCAGGGAGGGGAGATGCTGGCTTGGCTTCCCAGAGTCCTAAGCTCCAGCATGGCTTGGATCTCAGGAGACACTGCTAGTTCTCCCCCTGGAAGGGCTGCAGGCTGCCACCCTGCCTCCGCTTACAGGGAGGGGAGATGCTGGCTTGGCTTCCCAGAGTCCTAAGCTCCAGCATGGCTTGGATCTCAGGAGACACTGCTAGTTCTCCCCCTGGAAGGGCTGCAGGCTGCCACCCTGCCTCCGCTTACAGGGAGGGGAGATGCTGGCTTGGCTTCCCAGAGTCCTAATCTCCAACATGGCGTGGATCTCAGGAGACACTGCTAGTTCTCCCCCTGGAAGGGCTGCAGGCTGCCACCCTACCTCCGCTTACAGGGAGGGGAGATGCTGGCTTGGCTTCCCAAATGTCCCATTTTTGAGAGGGACAGCGTAGCTGTAGACTAGGGGTAATTAGAAGCAGTAGTATACTACCCTCTTTGGGCACATAATGAAATTCACCTGAATATCTGAAACTCCATTTCAGTGAGCAAAGATGTATTACTAATACTGCTACTTAGGCATGACAAAAAAAAAAGGCAGATTCTAGAATGTGATATGGCTTGCTTCAAATTATAATTGCTGATGAATTACATCCAGCATCCCATAGAAATGAATTGTGTACCAAAAAAGACAACTTTTTTTGTTGGTTTTCATTTTCTTTTGAGAAAAGTCTTGCTGTATTTTCCTGGCTGGCCTTTAACTTGAGATCCTCCTACATTATCCTATTGAGGGCTGAGACAACAAAGATGTGCCACCATTCCTGGAATAAGAACACTGTCAAAAATCCGGAAAAATACCATATGGTTTTCTTGCCCAAAGCATTGGTAACTCACCCAACGCTTACTGGAAACAGTGTGATTTCATGTGACTAGAGGGGCAGCTTCAATCACTTATCAATATAAGGCCCAATGGTCAGGCTCTCAGCCAGTGCAGGGCCAGTAGCTCATGGCCTTCCTTGCATGGGCTGTCACCCTGCACAGCTGGAGGCCTGGCTTCATTCCTCAACCTGGGCCTCTTGATGTTTCATACGCAAGGCACATTGGGTCTTCCAACTGTAGGGCAGCCTGCATTATAGATCCAGTGTGCTACAGAGCCTTCTCTTGCTGGGCACTGCCCTCAGAACCCATCTTTTACATCAAGGCTGTCCATGAAGCTTGGCTCTGTACGTTTGCCACCAGGTCTGTCACAGGCCAAGACATAGGCAGAATGTCTGCCAGTGTTATGGTTTAATCTGAAGGTGGGTCCTCTGCCGTCTACTCCCAAGCTCACTCACTCAGGTAGCAGGATTCATTCCTGAGGGCAGTGCACTGGGGCCTCCGAAGTCTGGACTGCTAGGTTATCAAGGACCTCTCCATAGAGCAGTTTAAAACATATCACATGGTGTCCCTTTAAGTGAGCAGGAGAAGGCACATGCAATACACATGTACAGCCTTTTTGACCTCACCCAAAAATGACTTCCCATTACTCCTCCGTGTCCTATTCAGAAGATCAGCTCATCCAGGAAAGGGGTCAGCAGGAGGTAGGCATAACCGGGGGCCACATGAGCAGCCCCATGCCTGCAGGGGAGAAGCTGCCTTCTTGGGATCTGAGGATACAATGGAGATATTCTGTCCTGTTCATTCCACTGGGTATATAAGGTTTCATTCATGTGACTGAGCACTGAAGCTCAGGGGTTCACATCCTTGTCCCTGACACATGTGTGTCCTGCCAGGGCACACAAAGTGTTTTCCATCTCCTCTCAACCAGGTTTGAGTAGCATGATGTCATCGACATGGCGGGTCACTGGATGTGAAATCAGATGATGTTCCTTTAGACATTGCCCATATGGACATTTCTCACTTATAGAATATAACAGCCAATAGGAATCAACAGTAAACAAGGCAATAAATGTGACTTATCCCCCTCGATTCCCCTCCCTTGTGAATATACATGGCTTTGAATTCTCTTTCTTGATCTGTAGTGACATGTCAGATGTCACACAGCCTCTGATCTAACTGAACACATAGCACGTGAATAATGACTGTGGTTAGAGGCTCCTAATCAACTGGTGATAGACTTGCCATCAGTCACGCAATCCACATGAGGCCCTATCCTTCCTGTATCTGAAGTGCTCTAGATATTTTCCAGGATATCTATGACATATAGGTTTTTTTATATAGATTTTGACAGCGTGGTCAACCAGTTTGTGGGTCATTCCTTGTTTTTAATAATTACAGATCTATTGAGAAAGCAAGTACTTTAATTTTAGGGACATACATAGCCCCTTTGAGTTAGGTGCTAGGAGATCTCGTTCCCCACAATGGTATTTGGCTACCAATGTCAGTGAGTTTTGAAGGAAGGCAATGTTTTGAGCAACTTTACTAAGCTGGCTTTCACATGAGGGTTAAGGTAAAAAATCAGTTTAAGACAGTGTAAGACTGAAGAGAAAGATCTGGATTTTTCATAACAATACCCCAATATTTACTGAGTCTTATCCAGTTATCCATAAATGTGCCTCGAGTTCTAACAGAGACTTACCTTGGCGAGGAAGAAAAACAAAGAACTTTGGTCCTGCGGTTACCTTAGACTCTTTGTGGACTAAGAGTGTCGGAGCGTCTAGTGCTGACAGGCAGCTAGCCAGTGCTGTGCTACTCTGTCCAGAGACCCAGAAAGGAAGCTGGGGTTTTTGTTTGTTTGTGTTTTGACCCCGATGTTGAGTTAGCACTCCTGTGGGTACTCCTTGTCTCTCAGCCACAAAGACAGAAAAAGCCTTAGTTAGGCTGGGATTTCTAATGCAGGGATCTACACCAAGGACTCTTAAGGCCTTGAAAGAGTTTTGAATAGCTGATGTCCATTTTAATGGTTCTGTTTCTGCCTTCAAGTTGCCTCATGTAGTGGTTTAGGTATAATTCGAAACAGCGTATTTATATGCAGTAGAAGCCTGCCATGACCAAAAAAGCCATCATTTGCAGTTTAGACTCTGGGGGAGCCAGACAACAAACTGTCTCTCTGTTCCTTGAGAACAACTGTCTTTGTCTTTTAGTTAAAACATATATCAGATATGTCATCTTTTTTTGAGAAATCTGGGCTTTCTGTTGGGACATCTTACAAGACCATTTAGCTGCAAAACTGAGAGTCTTAATGGAGTTTACTACCTTTAAATGCTGAAAATTATTTTTCTCTACGCTTGGAGTCTCAAATGTCTTAAGGAGATGAGATAGACAAGGGCCATTGAAATTTGATAAAAATTGCAATATAGATATTTCTTAAGTGATTACGGTATCTACATGCAGAGTTTTATGGAAATGTTACAGACAAAAATATAGATTTCTAGTCTCATTTCTACATAGAAAAGTATATTGACTTTTTCTATCATACTTCCCAAGGACCAGTCAAAAGGACAAGGGGGAGAAAAACACAAGGGAAAGTTGCTGTGACAAGACAGCCACATGTGATAGAAGGAATTGCAATCCGTCTCATACCACATACAAAAATTAACTCAACGTACAAGAAATATCCCCATGAAGGACCTAAAACTGTGAAACTGTTAATAAAAGATATAATGGTAAATATTCACAACCCTGGCTTTGGAAAAGGTTTCTTAGAGTACATATAACAAAACAAGAACTTCACCAAAATTGAAAAAACTATTTGAGCTGGAGATTTAGTTCATTGTTAGAGTGTTGCCAAGCATGGAATCAATCATCAGAACTACAAAAACAATTTCTTGTAACCTTTGTACATCAAACTTCAATATCAAGGTCATGAAAAAACAGCTCTCTGAACAGGAAAAACATTTGAAAATAGTTTATCTGAGAAGATTCTGGTACCCAGAATATAAAGACGTGCTGCACCTCAACAACTTCCTGGCACCGTGCATGGCCACACAGAAAATCCATAAATTAATGAAGGGGAAAGAGACAAGTTCATAATGTTGAGTGTTCCAAATGGATGGAATGTCTTTTCTTGATTTTTATCTACTTTGGGGTCCTTTGTGAGTCTGGATGTTTTTCCAATACAGGTCTTGCAGATGCTTTAAGTTTATTCCTAAGGGCCTTATGGAACCAGAAATGGGGTCTTCTCTGCCATTACCCACTTCTGAGACCACTGAGCACTGCATTAGCTTCATATCCTGTTCTCATGTCACATTTTGTGATCAGTTTTCAAATACACATATTTTACTCTCTTAACAAAGAATGGCTCACTCTCTCTTTTGTTGGACACTGTTACTGATGTCCTACATACTAACTTCTCATTTTTCTTTTTCCCCAATGTTAACATTCTCTGGATCTCCATTGCACGTGGAATACTACTATTTCCTCCTCTTTGTCCATGTGTCTGTCCATCTTCTAACACCACTTTGTTACAGTAGATCACATTACCACAACGTTCAGTGAATGACAATGACACCTGTGTTCCCCCTGAACCTCAACTCTCCAGAAACTGCCAATCTGCACATCCACTCAGCTCCCTGGCTTCTCCACACTGTCACCTAACAACCTCCTCAATCTTGGCACCCCAGGAAGTAGCACTGTGAGAAGCTGGGCTCTGTCAAGAAATGTTCTATCTCTCTTCACACCCACTAGTTAACACAGGAGGGATCCTTTTCCCTGTCCAGCCACCACCTCCTCTGGGCTGCTGACCTCTCACCCAGTCACTCCAACAGCCCACAGCACTCCCCTCATTTCTACCTGCTCTCTCTGATCACTTTGCCACGTCCTACAGCAGACAGAATGGAGGTTGTACAATGTGGATAAGATCATTGTAAGCTTCATTTTGCTTTGGATTCAACAGAGGGGAAATGTTAGTGACTATCAACATTTCTCCCAATTTCTACAATTGCACCACGTGATTCCTGCATACTTACTTGAGATTTGCCAAATAGAAACTGTTACCTACATTAATAGATGAAGACATAGACTCATGGGCTGTATAAGACATTTATAACATTCAAATTCTGTAGTCATATTAATTATCAGAAAATCATTCTTTTGGCTACATAATGAATAATTTTTTGCAAGACACCATCCTACTTATCATTACTATAATGAGGTTACACGTCTATTTGTTTTCTTTTCTTTTTTCTGGTTCTGGGGATAGAACTTATGAGCTGACGCATGCCAGGGAGGCACATATTCTGCTGACCTAAATACCCGTTACACTTCTAAAAGCAAGTGGATCTTTTTTAAAATGATATTGAAATAACCGGGGCCTTGTAAATGAATATCATCCAACCTAGGTTGTGTAATTTTATTTAGAGACAGGATGTCCCTAAATCACTAGATCAAGCAGGGTGGACTCCAAGCTTTGATCTTCCTTTGCCAGCCCCCCACCCCAGAGGACTGGGCTTATAGGCATGCAACAGCAAACAAACTTTAAACACAATTAACTACCCTTCTCTTTCAACATATTTCTTCACACCTCTGAGAATTATAAAATAAAAACCAAAAGAGACATTGCTCCAGATTTACAGTCTAAATAAGTAAACTTGAATAAATAAAATAATTCTTTCATTCTTCTGAGAGGTGTTGTGCTGTGTTTTGGTTTGATTGTGGTTACTGAGGACAGAATACAGGACTTTGGGAATGTGAGCACATGCTCTGCCACTGACCTATACCGCATCACACCGAAGGGTGTTTGTGTAAGGTTTCAACCACTGCTTCTCAAGTGTGACTCTTGCAAAATCTTCCAGAACATCTCTCAAGCATGTCTGACCCTCAGGACAAATAAAGCTGATTTTCTTACTCATTAAAAACATAAAGAGAAGGAGTTAACTTCACCTACTGTTTGTCCTAGGGCCAGGGATATAGCTCAATGGCTAGCACCTAAGTTTCATTCCAAGGTATCCAAAAAACAAACTAACACAACAAAAAAGCAAAATGGAAAAAATAAACCATAGTATTTTTCCTGTAAATTTTCCCTCAAACCTCCAATGCAACTGTTCCTTACCCTGCATTCCACTAGATGGTGCATCACATGTGGCCAGAAGCAAAGCTCTTCCTTACTTCAGCATGGCGCACAACACCAGCGATGAACAAGCTTGGGAGCCACTGCTTCACACAAGATGTCCAGGGCTCAATGACCTCAGTTCGACCAAGGTATGTGATACTGCAGTGTGGAAAGCAGACATGAGTTCTGCAGAACAAAGATCAAAACCAAAGCCCAGGCAACACAGGCCTTTAGAGCTGTCGGTTTAACAGCCTAGCACTATATAATTGAATCCACAATTAGCACCATGGTTGCCCCAAGATCTGGTCACACAATGCATTTATAATGTATCCACCATCTCGCTGTGGGCACAGTAAGCCTCCTAATGACTCATGTGCTCTATGTAGTGTTATCAGAAACCAAAAAGAGGAGCCCTGATACAGGTATGACCTATTCTTAACACATATTCTAGTTTTTTTTTCTAGGACTTATCATAGCAAAACTATCCAAAATCCTACCTCCACTCTAGACATGATATCATACATTGGAATTTCAGATAGTGAGGGTCTTGAGGCAGTGATTGTAAGGTTGATCCCAGAGTGTTCAACACAGAATGACTAAAAAAATAGATAAATAAAAAGAAAATATGTCTGGGTTTCTAGCTCAATGGCAGAGCAAGCATGTGTTCACATTCAAGAAGCAGAGATGGGCATGAGAAAATGCTTTAGCACATTTCAGAAAGGAGCCTCCAGATTCTAAGTAAACAGCTGGTATGCTGTTGTTATAACTGCCTAAAAATGCTTTCTGAAGAAATATTTTATATTTTTTTATAATGCAATTCTATCACTAGGTGTACTCTAAGACCTCACACTATAGTAGAACAACAAGGCTCTGAGCACATCAGCTGTTTGCGGAGCTCTGTAAAAGCAGATAGTGACTAGAATCTCCCATGTTCTAAGATATCAGGCAGGAACAGACCCTTGTACAAAGTTCTGCCTCCCTCGGGCACTAGAGCCCTGGACAATGAGATGGTGAGCAATTCTCCTGCACCCTTATCCACTCAGATGTATGAAGCCCCACTAAAGACACGAAGTTTTTACCTACTTGTAGAGAAACTCCCCCGACCATGACCCTGATCTTTTCAGCTACTTGTGGAGACATGAAGGAGGTGAGCTCAGTCTTGACTTTACCATCTCAACACTGTACAGGTCTCTAAAACAAGTATCTGATCAGTGAGACTACATATCCTGATGTACCTCCCAAGAGCCACATAAATGTGGACACACCAGTTTCAAGTTCAAATCCATATGAAGAGAGAAGACTCATAATAATTTTAAAAACGTGACAGCGAGTCTATTATAAACATCCTCTTGTGGGACTTAAGAGATAAGAGAAACTAATGAGCAAAAACAAGGGGTCTTATTTTCAGGCACACACTGGCTCCACTGGTCAATCCAAAATGGCTGAACAAAGGACAGAGAACAGGGTCAAGTTTTTACACATTTAGTCAAGGGATTTGTGGTCATGAGTATGGAACTGATGGGCAGGCAGAAGAACAAAGGCAGTTTGTCAAGTGTCACAGCTTTGTGCCTTAGTCACCATGCTCAGAGATAACAGGATGCTATGAGAAAAGAAAGTTATAAAATTTCACTTACAGGAACAAAAAATACTGTTTTATTTCCTTCATTGATGGTTTCTATAAAACTGTTTCTGATGGCATCACTATAAGAATAATTTACTTTGTTATGGAGGATTGACTCCCTATTGGGCAGAGACAAAACTACAACAAAAATGAAAAGGGATCTTTGTGGTTGTAACTCTTTTGTCCTCAAACTTCTGCCCTATGTCAACTGGTCAGCCTCTGGAATGACCAGGGCAGGGCTGTCATCGTTGGTGAAAGCTGCATCTCCCACACAATCAGAGAGTGTGGTTGGTCTGGATCCAGTCACCTCGTCTCTTTGTCTTGAACAGTTGGAGTTAGCTGGCTACGGTAGGTCATGCCAACTCTAAAAGTAGTGAGGAAGAAAAGACTATAGTGTAAGGCCCATCCCATATGGGCACCAGGTGGTAGAATCCTGTCTTTTGACTCATCTAGAGACTCTGGGCTTAAAAGGATGAATTAGGTATATTAGACTGATGGGGACTTTTTCTTGAACCCAGCTATGGATACCTTGCATGGCTATTCTCAAAGATTAGATTTGTGGGCCCAGGATTTAGCTCAACAGCATAAGTCCCTGTCTGGCAAGTGCAAGGTCATGAGTTCAATCCCCAGTACCAAAAAACAAAACAAAAAGTTGGATTTGTATCTTAGAGTTAATTTGTCTACTTTGCAAAGATGACCAATACATTGCCTTATTTGTGGGGAATGCCAGCCAAACAAGATTTTATAAGGGAAATACTCAGATATTCAGTAGTGATACTCGACATGGAGAGAGCAATACACAGGAGTTGATCCCATTTCCAGTGCTTTTCCTGATAATATGTTTTCAGAAATTCTTTGAGCATCCATTCTTTCAATCTGCCTTTTCAGACTACTATTTTTATTTTATTTTAACACTCAATTGAACCTTTGAAATACCACAGCCATGAAAGTTACTGCACTGAACTCAGGCACATGTGCTATTTTCCACGAAAAAGATGTTAACATTTCCCTGGCCCCCTTTGTGCTGACCATCTGTGGCCTGTGTTGTGCCCAGTACACTGTGGGTGAAGGTGAAGCTCGAGCTCATCCCTATCAGACCAGGGATTTCTTTATATGAGCCCACCGTACTGTCAGTGTGGCTACATCCCCATCCCATCTGTACTACCTCAGGCCCAATGTGAAATCCTGCCCAATGTTCATCTGGGGTGATACCCTCAGATACAGAATATCGCAGGCCTGAACAGAGTTCTACAGAATAAGGACATAAACACCAGTTCCCCTGTAGTACACCTCCCTCTACTGCAATTGTGATCCCTGTTCAAAATGGTTGGTCCCTGAGAACTCCTAGCTTGACCTCACTAACTGGCTATAAACAGGGCCATCTCTATTGTAAATCAGAGCAGGGCTGCCTGCATCCCCCTAACTTGTAATCCTGCCTCAGGCATATGAAAAACCTTGTACATTGTGAACTTGACCTCAAAACCCACCATGTCCCAATTGCTCAAACTTCTCTGATGACTTGTGCAATATCACCATCAATCAGGTCACATGCCCCTTGGCATGGAGTTCACAACAGAATTCCAAGCATGCATGCTCCTCTTCTCTCTCCACCAATATGTAGTCCCACACACCACAGATCTAAGCAGGTCTTCAAGATGTGCACCAGGTCTTTATGGCTTCAGACACGGCTGGAGCCCTGGTAATGTGGACATGCATAGAGACCTTGCATCTCCTGCCCTTTGCAAAGTCAACAAGAACAGAGCACACATATTACATGTATCACAAGCCTGCATACAACCCTGTAGGAAGAGAACATGACAAGAAGTGCTCAATTTCTAGAGCAGTGCAGACCTCTGCAGAAATCTCTACCACACAGGTACAACTGAATGTAAGCAGCCCACTTATCTGTTGACTAACTCATGTGCTTGGAGCCCTCTGTCACAAGAAGGGGGTGGCCCATGTTTCCTATTTCTGCAGCCTCACAACTGATGGCAGAGAACTCGCTGGAAGCTACAAATGTGATCACTGCCTCACTTTTTGTGCACAATCGAAGTGGAATCCTCAGCTGGGTGGGGGACAACAGAGAACCATATGTCACATCCATGTTCTGCATGTGTGCAGCCCTGGATATGGAAACTGTGAGTCAAGGACCCAGATCCACACCACATCACTTGTGTAAAGAGAACACGGAAGCACAGTCATCCCCTCTGTCCTCCTCCTGTATGGAGCCTGGGTCACTAAATAAAGTATATATGAACAGGAACCCACCCCATTTCCTGGTGACCTCGGGCCTGTATTGAAACTTGTACTGTGTGGACGTAAACAGAGCTCCCCATGTCCATGTCCTGATCACCAAAGTCATACAAGGAACCCTCTGCAACTTGACTGTAAGCAGAACCACCCTCCAAAGCCTCCCAAAAGCACAATGTCCTGTCTCCCTCAGGAGTATTTGGAGCCCTGCACAATGTGAATATGACCAAAACCCTGTCCTTATCTTAGGCACCACAAATGTGCACTCAGCTCCAAAAATGAATGTGAGCAGAACCTCTTGCTGTCCTGAACAACTCAGGTACATATGTGGCGCTGCATGATGTGACTGTGAGCATAGCCTCCCCAGGGTTCCAATGACCTCAGGCACTGGTGAAGCCACTGGTCCACCTGTGGTAAGTAGCACTAAGGTGTCTCCTCACCTCCTCTAGAATATGCATGTGAGCAGGACACTCCATGCTCTGCACAATGCACACAAGTGTGGGAACCCACAGAAGCAGGTTGTGAGCAGAAACCCAGGACTTGAGCTCCTTAGGTATATGATGACACCTGGAAAAATGGAGATGTGACCAGAATCTCCCTGTATTTCCCAACTATCTGGGGTGGCACTGGTGTTCTGTAATATAATATGTACAAGTAAGTGGGGTATACAAGAAATGGAAACTCTTGGGTACATATATAGCCATATGACTAGCATTTAAGGAACACCCTGTCGCCCCTTGCAATGACCATCTGTGCCTGTGTGGTAGCCAGCACACTATGGATGAGAGTGAAGCCTAGGCCTCCATAACATCCACATGGCAGGTTCCCACCCCATCTTCACAATCTCAGGCCTGTGGAATCCTACCCAATGTGCTTTGATGTGATACCCACAGACACAGAACATCGCAGACATAAGCAGATTCCTGAAGAACAAGGACATAAATACCAGTCTCGATATAGTATACCTATTTCTAATGCTATTATGATGCCTGTCCAAGGTGGTTGCCCCTGAAGAGATTTCAAAAACTGGCTGTAGATGGGGCCCTCTTTAGTGAAAGGGATGCTTGCATCACCCTGAGCAACAGAAGTGTAGAAAACCTGTACACTATGGACTTGACCTCAACACCCAGCATGGCCCAACAACCAAGACGTGTCTCATGACTTATGCAGTGTCAACATCAATCCACCCACCTGCCAGGGGGTGGAGTCCATGAAAAGGTTGTGAACACACACACTCCTCTCCCATCCCTGCCCTGTGTGTAGCACTGGTCACCACAGTCGTGAGCAGGGACACTCCACTGTGTCTTGACAACCTTAGGCACTGCTGGAGCCCTGCAGAATGTGGAAGTGCTTACAGATGTACCATCTCCCGAGCAGCAATGTTTTGTGTGCTATTTACAAGGTGAACTACAAAAGAGCCCGCACATGACATGTATGTCGTCATCCTGCATGGAACACTATACAAAGAGGAATCAACAAGTGGCACACCATTTCAGGACCAATATAGACCTGTGGAAAATCTCTACATAGGTTTGACCAGCAAAGCTCAACACAAGGTAATCAGCTCTCAAGAGTCTGCAGCCCTCTTCCACGTCAGTGTAAACAAAGCTACCCCATGTCCTCAGTTCTGGGGGTAAACCTTTGCATCTGGACTGTGAGCAGAACCACACCGTATCTTGACAACCGTAGGCCTGTTTGAAAGTCATAACCAGCAGAAATGTGAGCAGAACCTTTCGTGGTCTCATATCCACAGGCAACTGGAAAACTCTGGACAAGGTGGATGTGAGCAGACCAATTGTCCACTGACTGTCTCAGGGACACCTCCGTCATGTGGTAAGAGAAATGCTCCATCACATCCTGACAACCTGAAATGTTTGTGATCTCTCAGGGATTTGGACACTTCAGTCACAAAGAGGGGGTGACCCAAGCTTGCTATGTCTTCAGCCTCTCAACTAGTGGCAGAGAATTCACTCTAGGAAACAAATGTGAGCACTGCTTCACTTTTTGGACACAACCAGGTAAGCGGATTCCTCAGCTGTGTGGAGACAGCAGAGCATCCCACATTCCATCCACGTTCTGCATGTGTTCAGCCCTGTATACTGAGATTGTGAGTCAAAGTCCTTGGTCCCCGTCACATCACTTGTGTGTGGGCCTCTGAAAAGAGCACATGGATACCCAGCCATCCCCTCCTCCTCCTCGCTAGAGCATGGGTCACCATAAAATACATTAATAGGTACACAACCCCATGTCCTCAGGCTTGTGTTGAATATTGTACCGTGTGACGCTCAACAGAGCTCCCCATGTCCATGTCCTGACCACCAAGGCCATACATGCAGCCCTATACAACTTAACTGTAATCAGAGGGTCCCAAACTCCCAGCAACCACAATGTGCTGACTCCCTGCAGCATATGTGGAGCATGCACAATGTGAATGTGACCAGAGCACCGCCCTTGTCTTAAACACCATGGATGTGCACTCAGGCCGTACAGTGAATGTGAGAAGAGCCTCTCACGGCCCTAAACAATTCAGACATGTGGGCACCCTGAAGGATGTGACTGTGAAACTCCCCAGTGTCCTAATGACCACACGTACCAGTGGAGCCCTGGATAGTGTGAATGTGGAAAACATACTTCCATACAATGACAATCTCAGGGAAATGGGGTTCCACTACAAAGAGAAGGCAGGTAGAGCCCAACATGCCCCAGATATCTGCAACATGCATGGGGCCCTCTATAGGGTGGAGGTGAGAAGCCCACCATTTACTGTCTGACCCTCTCAGGTGGGTGCAAACCATCTACCCTTCGAGGTCAGTGGAGCTGCGTCAGAGTGTGCTCATCTCGTACATCCAGGTCACTTTTCAACATGCAACACGGACACAGAAGTCCATTTCATCAATGCCTCAGGCCTATGTGCAACACTCTACCTAGGAATGAGCACTTTGTGCTCACACTCACAATGACTATTTCAGGCTCATGTTGAGACATTACAACACACTCTGTGGTCAGTGCCCTATGTCCAGACAACCTCAATTTGTGGCTCAGACTGGCTAGGTGGTTATCACTGCTCCACGTATATAAAGCCTTAGACGAGGGGATGTGAACACACTTCCCCTGTGGAAACATCTGTGGTGATTGTGAGCCATCTCCAAGGCCAGTACAAGAACAGATCTCATGTCTTCAATCTCTCAGCTCCAGACACCTCCGTCATGTGGTAAGAGAAATGCTCCATCACATCCTGACAACCTGAAATGTTTGTGATCTCTCAAGAGATTTTAGGAACAGCCACTTCCTGTGTCTGAACTATAACACACCTCCTGTTGAGCCACAGTCCATGTCTATTGGGCCAGAGCAGCTCAAATGTGCATGTCAGGCTCTTGTCAAGCAATTACTAGGTGAAAGTGCACAGTGCCATCCTCTTACAATATGACTGAACTTCAAAGAACATGAGGAGTCTGTATAATGCCCATGTGAGCAGGGCCACTACCCCCAAATGACCAGACAAGCTGGGGCATTTGTGAGCACCTCAGCAACATGGATTGGAAGAGCAGCTCTCCATGTCCTGCCAATCAGGGCATGTGTGGACCCTCCACAACAGGATAGCATAACTAAGGTGAGTCCATCTCTGTCATATATGGAGTACTGTCCCCCATTGACAGGACAGTAATGCTACCTTTTTATTACCATCTCAGAATTGTAGACACCCTCTGATGTGTGGTGGTGAGCAGAGCCACATGCCTGTGGTGATGATCACACACATGAGGAGGCCTCTACAATAATGATGTAAATAGAGTCGGCAATTTCCTGAATCCCCCATGCATGCATAGAACTGTCTGCAAGGTATGTGCAGCACACCCAAGATACCCCCAGATGCACACACATACACCCTTCCCCCCACCCCCACAAACACATAGAGGTTGACCATCTCAGGCAGCTGCATAGTCCTATACAAACCCAAAGGTGAGCTGCACCCTCCTGTGTCCTGACAAATTAGTGCAAATGCATCATGATGTGAGCATAGCCTGTAGGTCCTGCTGACCTTATCTATGTGCTGAACCAGAGCTCCTGCTTTTCTCTCACTTGCGCAACCCAGGGTCCCAAAGAGGATGTGGCCTGGGGTTTTCAGGATATTACCACTGAAGCCACCTGAGGAAATCTCTAAATTGACCACATGAGCAGCATCACCCCATGACTCATCACCCTCCTCACCACTTCTGAATATGGTAGAGCTGTGTACTCCTGTAATGCCCAACTCAGCCAAGTGTGGGGCCCTTAGAACCAGGCTGTGGGCAGAAACCCTGGGAGCTGACCTCCTCCAGTGCATGAGGACACCTGGGAAAATGTGGATGTGACCAGAATCTCTCTGCATGTCCCAAATTCTAGGGAGATGGTCATACTCTGTATGATGTACATGTGAGTGGGTCCCACGTAGATGGATGAACCCAGGCACAAGTGCATCCCTGCACAATGAGGATGTGAGGAGGGTACTGGCATCTCTTGTGCTGATCATCCGTGGCCCATGTGGTGCCCAGTACACTGTGGATGAGAGTGGAGCCCCATCCAGTCCCTGTTGAAACAGGGATTTATATGAAGCCTCCACAATGTCCTCACTGTCAGTTACCCACATCCTCTGTACCTTATGAAATGACTGGAATCTTGTGTATTTCATGTCCGTGGAGCCATATATGTAGATTTTACTAAGATCCACTATGTCTTCATATCAGTGATGTCTGCAGAGCCTTCCACAACACGGATATGAGCAGGTTACTGACATTTATCACATGGATGTGGATCCCCTACAACACAGAGGTGAAAAGAGCTTCAGGCAACCCCAATTATCTAAAATACACAGAGAACTCTGGGCAGTGTGGTTATGAGCCGAGAACCCCAGGGATGACCACTCAGACATGGGTGGAGCCAATTTCCAGGAGGATGTGGGCAGAGGCCCAGACTCTCTTGATCCTCTCAATCGTGTGTGGAAGCTTCTGCAAGGTAGATCATGGCAGAGCCCCCCATGTCTTGACTGTCAGTAGCAGGCCTTAAAGCACCACCTAAACAAAGGAAATGAAGTGCAAACAGCAAACAAATTCTGTGAAGAAAACTGAGCTAATGCCACAGCCTAAGCTCTGACTATTTTACTCCCCTTGCAAAACAAGTTGTCTTTGTATCTTTCTAAATCATTGCAGCCAAATACAGGATCATCTGGACAGGCAACTCAGGACTATTGTGAGATCAGCTTTCCAGTCACACACTTAACACACTGCAAATCTGAGAAAAGGTCCAAGATTTTGACACTTGAGCTGAAATGTAGAACCCTGTGTGTAAGACTGTTTCACTCACTGACTCGTTTCACAACCAAACTTTCAGGATTGAAGTAGGCTCATGGCACAGCCTGAATTTGGAAGGTGAACTGAATACAGCCCTCAATGAACTATCAACCTTCATGGCCAGAGCAGGACTGAAGAGCTGCTGCTCAGGACACCGTTAATCCTCCTGATTACAGCAAATGCCTCTTGGTGACATCTTGTGAGAAGGTTCCATAGTGCAGCCTACACAGCTGTATAGCAAATAAGCGGTCTACCAAACCCTCAGCATGGAACACAAACCTAGTTATGGGCCCTATGCAGAGATAATCTGGATGTGCCAGCCAGAGCTCAGCGCAGGACAACAGGAAAGCCCTGAGGCTTGGGTGGCTCTCAGTTTTCCCCAGAAAAATCTGCCTGAGACTGAGGACATCAAGCACTTGAAAATGCACCCATGTCCGTAGTTAGAGAAATGTTTGGCTTATGTTCCTTCCTTTATTGCCCACTTGAAACACAGATCCCTAAGTATCTCTGCAAAGTGGAGGTCAACACTATAATGCTGGGTTCCACTCACCAAAACACAACCACAGTTGGATGGCAGGCACACAGTGACACCCTGGAACTTACTATGAGGGTGACCCCTGGATCTTCCCACCAGCACAACTCTCATTCATTCTGATTTCACAGCTGTGCTTCCAGCTCTTCCTGGGGGACACACTGGGCCCATGGTACAGAAGCTCATTAGAAGACTGACAAGACAAATGGCATCTGTGTATCCTATGGCCATTCATACTATGTCCCATTGGTTACCAAATACAGACAAAAATGGGGTGAAGCTCAAGGTGATTCACTGGGGGAAAGCAGCCAGCTTAATCCTAAAGCTGCCAACTCCAGAGTGCTGCCCACCACACAGGGCTCCTCAAATATTTGCGCTGAAGCACTCAGGCCACTAGGAAGGCAAATCCTTGCTACCCAGAAAAGAAGGACAGGCTCAGTAGTACTGCCACTACTCAAAAGTTCATGTAAATCTTTAAAGCTTCACAAGCTTTCTGGTACAAATTCCCTATGCTGAATATGATTATTATATATCTGAAAAGTACCAATAAATGTAAGCATTAAAGGAAAAAATAAAAATAAAAGAGTGTTCTCCACAGTATCAAATTTTAAAATGTACCTGGGTTTCCTCTGCACGGGGGCCTGCTGCAGCCTCCAGCCTCCTGTGCCACTGGGAGCAGTTACACTGGCCCACATCAGGTGCCTCATCCATCTCCAATTCTTGGCAACACCTAAGAAGAGGACCAACTGCCTTAATTAAAGATGCCCTAATTCCAATTAAGCTGTTGCCACCTTTTCATGAGATGAGAAAACAAAACCAGTAACAGGTGCTTCAAAGTGTGAGGGGCAACTGACAGAACAGGTGTGTATTTGCAGACATCAGCGCAGCTCAACATGTGCCCCTTCAGGCACTGTAGGAACTACTGGGAGACCTCAGAGGGTCCACCCCACCAAAGGTGTGCAACCCACACAGGCCGTGCAGCACCACACAGCAGTTTGTGAGCAGACTCCCCACGCCATGGCAAGACCCTTACAATGGTCAGATGGAAAATCAGGCAGTGAAGAGCCAGGGTATGACCTTGACCTTGAAGAGACACACTCTTGCACAAGCACAGAAATTTCTTAGTTTAAAGATACCAGGACTTATTTCCTCGTCTCTGACTAAGACGCAGACTTTTATGTTCCTAACTTAAGCTCTTCTGAGCTACCTCAATGTCTTAACCAAGTGCTTCAGGAAAAATAGCAAATAATTACAACATCTCAGCAGAAAGCTCAGCTCCCACATTAAGAGGCTCCAGCTCAACATGAGAATGGACAAATCAACATGAGGTCACGTGTCGGCACCTCCATTCATAAACATCAGGTCACGTGTAGGATCCTCGATTCATGGTGTCACCTGAAATAGTACGAGCTGGCTGGCATGGTGCATACCCGTAATCCCAGCACTGAAGAGGCTGAGGCAGGATGACTCTATGGTCCTATGGCTGGTATAACTGAAAAACACTGTGTACATTCAAGGTGTACAATGCGATGATTTTGTATGCATGTATTTTGTAAACTGAGTCCACATCAAGTGAATGAACACATGTATCATTATTCGATAGTTACCACTGGAGTGTATGGGCACTTGAGAGACACAGGCACTTTAGGCCACAGGGCTCTAAAGCCCAGCCGGATGCCGGTGGCCTCCAGCACTCTCCATGGCAGGCTTCTGCTCAGCCCTTCCCTAAAGCACCCATGTGTATAGCTATACCTACATGGCTCATATATGTATGCACAGCATCTCACACCTCACTCCTCACCACACAGCTCCTGATCATCCTCCACAAATCTCTTTTTCCTTCATTGAATCACAGCTATACTGAGTTTCTTATAGGTGGTGCCCAGGAACTTGTTTTGGCTATCTGGATGCTATGAATACCAAGGTTTTGGCTCCTTTCACCTGCATCATCTCTCTGTACTCCATCCCTATCTTAGTTTTTCTCTATGGCATGAATCATCTGCTGTGTGATCTTGTTATCCATCTTCCCCTTTAAAATGCAAGCTCACTGCAACCAGGTTGGGTCTCTTATTTCATTCAGTGCTAACAGAACAATGCCCAGACCATAGGAACCCAAGGAACGTAGATGAATGAATAAAAGAAGGAAGGAATGAAAATGCAAAGCATTCTTACCATAGAAAGGAAGCACTGAAAACACACAGAGGTGACCAAGTTCCTGAGTCCAATCTGCAATTACAGAGTAAGACAGAAGTCAAGAGCTTGAGTGAGGAGAGTGGCTGTGGGTAGCTGCAGCCTAGGCATCCAGAGGTCCTCCACATTACCTGCCACGTGTATATCACCAGGACTCTCACCCTCCTCAGTGCCCACCCAAGGAACCCCTCACACCACATGGTGCAGTTTTGGCTCCTGGCTTCCAATCACCCTGGACAACCCCACAAGTACCTGAACTAGCTCTGGCACCAAGCACCTACCCCTGCACACACCTGTGCTCAAATGTGCATGCCCTTGAGAAACGCCTATGTGGAATTATCTCAGGCCTCACACATTTTGCAAGTGCTGGCACAGGCTGCCTCTATTGGCAATGCCTTCCTCTACCTTGCAGCTGACCAGTGAATGGCAATGCTAGCCTGAACCATGGCAGTACTCTGCCTTTCTGCTAGATTGTGGTGTCATCTCTTGGTGCCCTAAGTTGCTGGGCTCTCCTCTGGTTGCCATGGCAACTCGGTCACAGGCTGACTATGTGAGTGTGGCTGCTGGCATCCAGCTGGTATCTAATTGGTAAAAACCAGGGCGCAAAAGGACAAATGTTAAAAAACAAATGACACAGAGGTTAGAGATTGTTACAATGGTATTTGTCACCATGTAAGGAATCAACAGCATTACACATTTATTGACACACAGAGGCAGTGAAGATCTGTCTGCCAGGGCACCAGTTCAGGACCTTCCAGGTGGGGAAGGGCTATGGGCCAGCTCATATCCACTGACTGTGACAGCAGTGCACGGCAGCAAAGAACAACCCTCTATTTCATCTTCAGCACTTATAAATCGTACTGTGGTTGGGTTGGTGGCACCAGCCTGTAATCCTAGGTACCCTGGAGGGTGAAGCAGCAGGATAGCAAGTTCAAGCCCCGCCTGGGCAATTTACTGTGATCTTGTCTCAAAATCATAATAATAATAATGATAATGATAATATAAATAAATAAATAAATAAATAAGTAAATCAGTACAAGAGCTGGGGATGTAGCTCATGCTGGTATGTGTGAGGCCCTGACTACCACCCTCAGCAAAGGAAAAGGAAAGAATTCCTGGCTCCTTCCTCAGATAAAAAAGAAAGAAAAGAGAGAAAATCAAGGTCTGGTTTATGAGTGGTGCTTTAGTGGTAAAATATCACAAAGCCATAATCAAAGAAAAGCAAGCCTAGGACCGTCATCTTCACATTTAGGGCCATTTGCATTCAGGGATTTGCGGGTTCTGAAAGAAGCAGCTGAGAATTTGAAATCCAAGACAGAGATTGTGACTAGTTTGTGGGTCAGTGGACAGGAAAATAAGGCCCCATCCTTTGATTCATAGGAAAGGTGGATTAAGGTAGTTTAATTTCAATGGGAAGTAGACCAACCCCTGAGGAACTCACCCCAGGCTCTGAAATTACATTTCTATGAGTCAGCACTTATTAGTGGTACCAAAGCCAGCTGAGTGAAGAAAAGGCAGATTCTAGGTGATATCCCAGGCCTCAAATTCTAATTGCTTATGGATTACACCCAGGAGGCATAGAAATTAGCTGTGTATCTAGGAAGACAACACTTTTTTGAGATAAAGATCTCACTGTATGGTCCAAACTGGTTGTGATCTCAGTATGTAGGGCAGTGTGGCTTCCAGCTTAAGATCTGCCTGACTCAGCCTCTCAAGTGCTAAGAATACAGGGATGTGTCAGTTGATGAAGACAACACTATGAAAAGTAAGGAAAAAAATGTACATTAACATTGCACAGTGCATGGGTGACCCATTCACCCATTCTGAAACACTCTGCTTTTGTGCGTCATGAGGAGTAGCTTCCATTACATGGCAACATGAGGTCCAATTCTCAGGGTCTCAGTGTGTGTAGGGCCAGTGGCACATGGCTTTCATTGCACAACCTGTGATTTTGCACAGTAGGAGGCTTGGCTTCACTCTACAACCTGGGGGCTCTTGGGGTTCACCATGTACCGCTATAGCACATTTGGTCTTCTGAAAGCAGGGCCGTCAACATTACAGATATGACCTGCTCAGAACTTTCTCTTGCATGCACCTGACTCAGAGCTGAAAATCAGCTAGATGTGGTGATGCATAACCATCAATCCAAGGTGAGGCAGGAGATGGCAAGTTCAAAGCCAGTGTGGGAAACTTCACAAGAACTGTCTGCTGGAGGTGCATGTCAGTGCCCACATGGGTTCAGTCTCCAATATTGAACCCATTCAACCAATCAGATGTTTTAGCATCCCAGAAAATTGTCATGTATAGGTTTATAAGTGGTCGTGTATATAAGGTCATGTATAAGATGACATAGATGACCAACAAATTCAAAGTTACTAACCAAGGGAAGCAAAGCTCCTCTATATGATAAAACATTGCACTATGCTGCATTTCTGCACCACAAAGAAAAGCAAACCTTAGCAATCCAGAGCACTGTAACCCATTCTGGGGACAGTGGATGACGCTCAGCTCTATGCCTCTGCCTGCCTGTCTGTCTGTCACATGTCTAGGCTAGAGCTATGGATACATCTGGAGCCTTGTCTGTGACTGTCCAAACCAAAACTTGGTTACACAGGTACAAGAAGGATTCATTCCACTACAGGCACTGACTAAAGGCTCCAATCCCCACTGCCAGGTTGCCAAAGGCCTCTCTATAGGGCGGCTTAGAACGTGGCAGGTGGTGTCCCTGTGATTGAGGAAGAAGGGGCACATGCAAGACACAAGTACGTCTTCTTTTAATCTTGTCTCTCAAGTGACTTCCCATGATTTCTTCTGTGTCCTGTTCACAATCTCAGCTCATTCAGCGAGGAGATCACTTAAATATGGGCATCACCAGAGGCAACAAGAGAGGCTGCCCACCTCCAAGGTGCAAGGCGTGACAACATGACTCCAAGACACAAGGGAGATGTTCTGTCATGCCCATATCACTAAACACAAAAGGGCTCACTAATGGGATAAGCACTTAAGCCCACGGATGTAGAGCCTCCTCCTGACACACCCATGTTCTGCTAGGACACCCGGAGCCTAGCCACCTGCTCTGCACCACGTACAATTGGCATGACAACACTGAGTGTCAGGACAGCTGGTGTCCACTTAGACACTGCTCATTTACACACTGTCCATCTAGACACTGTAGGGGCTCATGCATTTCACTTCTCCTCACTCCTTCCCACCCCATCCTGATTCTTCTCCATGGTACTTACCACCTTTGTGTGATCTTACTGATTGGTCTGTCTTCTTTAGAATGGAAACTCACTAGATCAGAAGTGTGCCTCTTATTCATTCACTGCTATTAAAACAATTTCCAAATATAAAAGTCCAAAAAAATTTCTTGAAGGAACAAACAAATAGATGAATGGAAAGATGAAAGGAAAAAGCAGGGCGTGCTGACAGGACAAAGGAGGCACCAAAAACCCTCAGCAGGTAAAGAGTGCTCTGAGTTCCATTCCGCTTCTGTAGAGGGAGAGACACCACAGATCTCTGCTCTTCTGCACAGGTCTGGAACTGATTGCGATGTCCCTTACCTCCCTGAGGTAGCCAAAGCGCCACACAGCGTTCGCACAGCCACGCGGAGCTGCCACAGCCTACTGCACGCGCAGCGCCGCCTACATTTGCGGGTCCCACAACCGCCTCCACTCTACACCCGCGTGCCCAGTACTGGTCAAGGCACAAGCACCTACATGCATGCATAGGCGCGCGATTAGCTGCAGAACCAGGCCAGGAGCTTCAGGTTCTCTGGAGTCCCTCCTTCAGACACCCGGCGTATCCCATTGGGCGAGAACTGTTCCTGGTATCCTCCAACCGACCAATGGCAAGCAGCTACCCCATAGAGGCTGAGCCAAACCATCAGGAGCCAATGGGAAAGCCGCCGGTTTCCCGGGAAACGTGTCCTGAGGCAGAGTCTGGCCAGAACACAACGGAGAAGCTCTACTGTAGCCAAGGAGAGGCTGGGCTGTAGCTGTTGGTGACCTATTGCTACTGACTTTCTAAACAAGGGTACAAAGACGGGTAATTCAAAAGAAAAACAGTAGGGATTGTTATAGAAGCGCTGGTTACCATTTAAACATCCACAGTCTGACCAACACAGATAGTCAAACTGTGTCTGCAAGGGCTGCAGCACAGGTGAGAGGTGGCTTGGAGATCTGGGAGGGGAACGGAGTGGAATCAAGGCTAAGTTCAGCTCAGGTGCCAAAACCAGTGCTCTGTTTAGTCCTTCAGTTGTTAGGAATAAGAGTGTTCACTGACGCGGTGTTACATGCCTGTTAATGCTAGCTACTACAGAGGCTGTGGCAATAGGACTGTAAGTTGAGGCCCAGCCAGGGCAAGTTAGTGAGATCTTGTTTCAAAATAATAAAAATAAATAAATAGAAAATTAAAGGTTTACAGTTGTAGCTCAGTAGTAGAGCACTTACTTGCTTGGCATGTGTGAAGTCCTGAGTTCCATCCCCAGCATTCAAAAAAATAATTCTAGGCTCCTTCTCCTGTGGGACACAAGGTTCAAAAGAAAGGGGTGAAGAATAAAATCTGGTTTATAGCGTGAGAGTGATACTTTAGTAGTAAAATAGGACAATGCCAACAACCAGCAGAAAAAGGAAACTGAGGAATGTTAGTGCAACATTTAGAGTCATTTTCACTCAGGATCAGTGGGTTCTGGAAGAGGAATCTGAGAAGCTGAAATCCCAGACAGGGACTCTGACAGGTCTGTGGTTCCAGTGACTGGAGCCAGGGGTTCCATCTTTGGGGTAGGATTAGGAAAAGCAGCAGAGAAGTGGGGAATTGAAAGCAGTAGTAGACTAGCCTTTAGGGGATTTATTTAAACTCACCTGAACTTCTGAAACTGTGCTTTTGTGCCTCCGGTTTTATCACAAATCCCACTAGGGTGATGAGAGACAAAAGGGAAATTCAAGAATGTGATATTGCTTGCCTCAAATTATAATTGCTTAGGGATTATATACAGCACCCCATACAAATTCACTGTGTACCTAAAAAGAAAACACTTTTTCTTGTTTTTTCATTTGTTTGAGACAAAATTTTTGCTCTGTAGTTCAGTCTAGTCTTGATCTCAAGCTGCCTCAGCTGATTAAGGGCTGACATTACAAGTATGTGCCACCACACCTGGTGATTGGAACACTGTCAAATATTGTTTTCTTGTATAGTCATTCATAATCTACCCACTCATACCAGAAACTGTGATTGCCTGGGTCACAAGGGACAATATTAGCCACTTGTCAATGTGAGGTCCAATGGTCAGCATCTCAGTCTCTGCAGGGCTAGTGGTATAATGGGTTATCTATAAAGGGTAGAAACCTGATACTGTTACAAAAAAGCCCTTGGTTACTGTTTGGACTCTGGGGGAGCCAGACAACAAATTGTCTGTTTTCCTAAGGACAACTGTTTTAGTCTTAGACTTAAAACATGTATCAGCTAAGTCATCTTTTGAGACTTTGTATTAGGACACCTTGTATCACCATTTGGGTAAAAAATTAAGTCTTGTTGGTAGAATTTACTACTGCTAAGTGCTGAAAACTATTTTATGTTTCTTCTTCAAATCTTTTAAGCAAATGAGACAGTTGGGGTCATTGATAAAACTTGCAATACAGAAAATCCTTATGTGATTTTCATATTTATGTGTGGAGTTTTAAGGTAATAGGAGAGACAAAAATACCAAGTTTAGCAGTCTCATTTCTATACAGGAAAGTATCTTTCCTTTTTCTATCATGTTTCATGAGGATGCATCCAAAGGACCAGAAAGGGTGCTGTGATAACAGGACACCCACACATGAAAGGAGGAATTGGAATTCTTGATCTTACCATATACAAAAATGAACAGAAAGTACAATAAACATCTATATGTAGGACCGAAAACTGTGAAACTCTTGGAAAAAATATAAGGGTAAATCTTCACAATATTGATTTTTGCAGCGGTTGTTTTTAGGTTATGTGTAATGAAAGAAGAAATACATAAGAAGGATTCACCAAAATTTAAAACTGTTGTACTTGGAAATGTAGCTCAGTGGGAGAGTGCCTACCTGGCATGGGATCAATTACCAGCACAACAAACATAATTCCTTTTAACATTTGCGTATCAGCATTCACCTTCAAGGACAGGAAAAGTCAGTTCTCAGACAGGAGAAAATATTTGAGAATAATTTATCTGAGAAAGTTCAGTATAAGTAACAAGCCCTAACTGACTATGCCACTGGAGCTCCATGAGAAGGTTCTGATAACCAGGGTATAATGAAGCGATCAGTTCAACTTCCTTGGGCAATTCCTGGGCAAGTACAAGAACTATAAATTAATGCAGAGAAATTAGACAACTTTATACTGTTGAGTCCTCCAAGAGATTGCAGCATCTTTCTACATGAGGGGGTATGTTGTAAAATGTGCAGTAGATCATTATAAGGTTCATTTTGCTTTTGATTGTTGACAAGGAAAATTATTTGTAATTATTAAAATTATCTTCAGTTTGTACAACTGCATTATGTCAGTCCTGTGAATACACTGGAGATTTGCCAAAGAGAAGCTGGACGCCTGAATCAATAGGAAAACACAATGAATAACAGGCTTCATGAGGCACTTACAATGTTCAAAATATATGTTTATTTTTTATTTTATTTTGAAGGTGGTAAAATACAACAAGACAGAACAAAGCCAGTCAAAACACTGCAGTGAAACTGGTACAGAACTGCAGGGCAGGATACAGGGGAAACAATAATAGGTGCCATAGTATGTTTTGCTATCTTCTAATAGGTGTCCATCCCATAAGATACAGCAAAATCAAACCAGAAACAGAACATTATAAAACCAATCAAAACAGAATATTGAATAGAGCAAGACAACTGATCAGAACAAATAAAACAGTGAAAAAATATTTTCCTTCCAAGAGAAGATAGAAAGAAATCCCCCATATTTGCTATCTTGCATATGGTTAACCTCCCAAGAGATGCTCAGAACTCTGGCCTCTGGGCAGCATAATCAAATCAATGATAGAAACATTTAGTTGCTTTATATGCCTTAGATGCTGTCAACTCAGGCTGTCCTTGACACCTTCTAGCTGCTAAACGAGGGTGGGGGGATATATTCTTTTGGCCACATGACAAGTACTTTTATACACAATACCATCATCCTAATTATTATTATCATGGTGAGACAACGCTTGTATAAGCAAATAAAATCTTTGATTTGGTTTCTTTTTCATGGTACCTGAGGAATAACCCCAGGGTCTTCTCACTGACTAACATATATCTTGGTTTATAATTTTATTTTGAGACAAGATATCGCTAAGTCACTAAATTGTGCAAGGTAGGATCATGATCCTACCCTGCCTTAGCTTCAAGAAAGACTGGGATTACAGACATTGGGCACCACAAAGTTTTCAATGCTATTTGCTATTCCTCTGTTTTAACACAGTTCATTACTTCCTTTAGGATCAGAAAATAAAAACCAGAAATGACCCTGCCCTGAACTTAGAATTCAAATAATTAAACATCAGTAGATGTAATCATTCTGTCATTCTTCTGAGACATGTCGTATTGTGATATGTATTGTTTTGATTTAGAAACTGAGGACTGAACCCAGTATCCTGGGTATGTGAGACAACTCCTGTGCTACAGTCTGCACACCCATCACATAAAGGGTGTTTCTGTAGGAATCCCAGCACCACTCACCAAGGCTGACTCTTGCAAAATACTCCTGAGCAGCTCCAAAGCATGTCTGGCCCTCACCTCAAATAAAAGCGGTTCTCAGGCTCATGGCAAAACTTCAAGTGATAGACTTACTGAACTTAGTATTGTTCCCTGCAAGATTCCCCTCAAACCTCCAATGCATCTGTTCCTTATCTTATAATCCACTAGATGGTGCATCTTATGTGGCCAGAATCAAAGCTCATCCTCACTTTCAGAATGCTGCAGAGCATCAGGAGTGAACAAGCTTGGGAACCACTGCTTCAGACAAGACGTCCAGGGCTCACTGACCTCAGTTTGACCGAGGTATGTGACACTGCAATGTGGGAGGTAGACATGAGTTCTGCAGAACAAAGATCAAAACCTTCCTGAAGGCTGTTTTCCCTAGGCAAAGCCCAGGAACACAGGCCTTTAGAGCTGTCAGCTTAGTGACAGCCCAGCACTATAAAAGTAACTCCACAATCAGCACAAAGGTTGCTCAGCACTTGGTCACACAATGCAATGACTACAATTTATAACCTTTCCTCCTTGCTGCTGTGGGAACATTAAGCCTTCTAATGACTCATATGCTCTAGGCAGTGTTATCAAAAATCAGAGAGAGGAACCCTGATTCTTATCACATATAGGGTTCACCATAGCAAAGCTATCTAAAAACCTAACTCCATGCCAGACCTAGTGTCATGCCTTAGAATCCCAGCTACTCAGGAGTCTGAGCAGGATGATTATAACTTTGATTCCAGCAGGCTCAATACAGCAAGACCATGTCTCTTACAAAATAGTTAACTAAAGCCCTTGCCTGGCTCTTCAGTGTTACTAACAAGCACAACATATAGGTTGTGGCCACTGAAATTTGAGCATAGGATCCAAATGAAGAGAGACGACTCACATAATGGTTTTGACAGAGGATCATAACTTCGTCATAAAAGTACTGATGCAGGATTTAAGATATTGGAGACACCAATAGGGAGAACAAGAGGGCTTTATTTTCGGTATACAGTGGCACTACTGATCAAAGTGCCTGAAAGGACAGAGGACAGGTTCCAGGTTTACACATTTGGTCAAGAGAATTGTGGTCTTTTGCATGGAATTTGTAGAAAGGCAGAAGAATAAAGGCAGTTTGTCAAGATGTGACAGTTTTATTTCTTGATGGTCTTGCTCAGACACAACAGGATGTTATAGAAAAAGGAATTTATAAAATGTGACATGCAGGGAAACAAGTTACTGTTTTATTTGCCCCATGGATTGTTTCTGTCAATGAGTTTTAACAGAAAGCATCACCCTAATTATCATTTATCATTTGGTAGTAGGATGCTTGGTTCCCAATTAGGCTTATAGAGAACTATAACAAAAAGGAAAAGAGACTAATGTTGTGGTTCTAACTCCATGACAATCCTCAAGCTTTTCCTGTGCAACAACTGGGCCGCCTCTGTAGTGACCAGAGCAGGTTGGTCAACACTCAAACTTCAGCTGTGGGTATACTAGTCAGTTTCCGGTATGACTAGAACAAGGCTGTTAATACTGGTGATGGCCACTCTCCCACAGGATCAGCAAGTTTGGTCAGTCTGGACCTGCTGGCTGGTCCATTTGTCTTGGGCTGTTGGTTTCAGCCAGCTGTGGTGGATCCAAGGCACAACTCCTGCAACATTCACTGCAGTGGGGATAGATGAGATTACAGTGTGGGGACTGGGCTATATTGCACAAGGGTG